TATGTATATTTTTTATGAACTTGCATCTATATAAATATATATTTTTTTATTTTTTTATCGCTATATTTCTATAGTTTCTTTTCCATTTAGGAGTTCCTTGATATAGGGTTAACCTCCGGATTTCCTTTTCCTAACAGTGCTTATTAAAACAGTGCTTGTTATTTTTTAAATAAAGTATTGTAAGTCCAGATGTGTCCTTTTTCTACGAGTCTTTAGGGATTGCAAATGTTTTCAGGAATACATGCACCGTTTGCAAATATGGCGACGATACCTCCAAAGCGAGGCTACCCCGTAACAACGCTGTTGCCAAGGGCTGGCTGCGTCTGTTTTCAAGTACTTCGTGCCAGCTAATACCAGGTTGGCTTGTGCTTTCTTTAGGCCTAGGCCTCCATCATGTGTTCTTTTATCAGAGATGAGTAATTGGAAGAAAGTACCATCAAAGTAAAATAACTCTAGACTTTTAACGGAAGTTACAGTCTGGGAGGTACGTCTTGAATTATGCTTTGTTATGAACGTTCGATTGTCTTCTCATTTAATAAAAGGCTGCACCAAGTTTTACTGTATGTTTCTGTTTTGGCTTCTGTTCAACGTAAAGCATGGAGAGACCTGTGGAGGAGATGCATGTAAATGAACTTAAAGAGCTTCTCCGCAGCAAAAATGTGAGCCTCAAAGGATTAACAGTGAAAGCACAACTAGTCGCAAAGTAAGCGAAGACTGGTTTACGATTTATTCAAGCTTTGAACAACAACAGAAAAACCAAACACATAATTAATGTAATGGTTAGTTTATCAAAACAACAGGGGTTAAAAGACACGCCTTAAGTCTTCTTGGATCTGTCGTTGGAAGGCTGTGATAAGTGATCTTTCCTCCGTCCGGCCCTACTCGATATCCGCTCTTACAGGATAGCGGCACGCAACAGTTATCAGGCATGTTATACCACTCAGAAGATCACTTGTAATGGTATTGGGACCAAATTCTAAACATGGAAGAACCCACTTATCAGGTATATAAGCCGAAATGTAATGAAATGCATTCTGTAAATAAAACAGTTCTGAATACTCAGCAATCCTGAGAAGACCGTAATCGAACGTTCAAAACATTTTATCCATTTCTTTCTCTGGGGGACAGAACTGGAATTTTTCTTCATTCTCCCAGGTTTAAAATTTATTCAACGTAAGCTTGAATAAAATCTTAAATAAAGAGCGTTTGCACAGCGCTTGGTCTTAGCTCGTTTGCTCTGGTAAGTTTTTCTTCTCATCTCAATGAACACCATGAAATTGAATATGGAAAGACAGATTTACCTCTCATGTGTCAAGATGAAATCGTGAAGCTGAGAACTTTGGCAATATTGCTCTTGATTTACAGCCAATTGATATGATTCCACTCTAAGACCCTCACCAAAAGGTTTTTTAGACCAGTCCTATTATTTTGTTTATCACACCTTTGCTGACCTTACTCGAACTGGCCTCAGAGGGGTGTTTTGCAATTTTCAGCAAGTGGACAGGGGAAGGATAGAAGGCTACCAGAAATTCTGATAATTAACGTGAATCTTCGTCACCGAATTCTTCATAAAAATATTCTATAAGAATCAGTTGTCGTCTCTTTTGCCGGGATAAACAAATATCTAATCC